TTAACACCTCCTTTTTGCTCACGTATCCAATTCCTGGCAATCTCAGCGTCCTTTTTTAGAACTACATCTCTATTACCTCAAGCCTCTTCTTCATCTGTGAAGAAATGGCACAACATTCAGTGATGTATAGAAGTCCATAGAAGCTGACTATTTTTTTTTATATTTCTTTTAATATTTTTCTGTGTTTCTACCATAATTTTGCTTAATTAATTATTAATACTTTGGCTTTTGGAAAGCATATTCCATGAAATTCATTCTTAAAATTTATATATGAAATTCATTCTTGGATTTTATATATAACACGAGAATAAATTCTTAATTTTCTTTGTTTCTGCCATAATTTTGCTTTTATTAATACTTTGTTTGGCTTTTCGAAAGCATATTTCTTGAAATTCATTCTTGTATTTTATATATTAAATTCATTCTTCTATTTTATATATAACATGAGAATAAAATTATTTTGTTTCTACCATAATTTTGCTTTTATTAATAATTTGGCTTTTGGAAAGCATTTTTCATGAATCCATTCTTTTATTTTATATATGAAATTCATTCTTCTATTTTATATATAACATGAGAATATATTCTTAGTTATTTTGTTTCTACCATAATTTTGCTTTTATTAATAATTTGGCTTTTGGAAAGCATTTTGCATGAAATGTATTCTTTTATTTTATATATGAAATTCATTCTTCTATTTTATATATAATATGAGAATAAATTCTTAGTTATTTTGTTTCTACCATAATTTTGCTTTTATTAATACTTTGCTTGGCTTTTGAAAAGCATATTTCGCTCTTCCAGTACGGGTTATAATTTTGTTGTCACATAATCTGTCACGTGCTAAAACATTTCCCAGTTAGTTACCTTATTTGCTTTCGCATAACACGCATTCTCACATAAGACGCCCTTTTATTTTACAAAGATAGTTTGTGGAAAAATGTCTCATCATATATTTATTGAAATATATTTTAAAGTGGTTTTGTTGGGGAGAATGTCTTTTTTTTTGCATGTAAATACAATATTAAAACAGTATACTGAAATAAAGTATGAAATCATAATACTGTAACTTTAACGTTCAAAGGAAACTAAATTAAATTTGCCTAAGAAGAAAAGAAACACTGGTACAATCTTATCAATAAGTATTGGTACATATAAATAAAGCCGACTGATATAAAGCAATCAGTAGAGTATAGTAATTGCGAATTAATTCTTATAGATAATCGCAATACAGGCAGACAAAGCAAATATTTCACTGAATATTACCAGTAATATACAACAGGGAAAAAATGTATGCATTCTAATAGAAACCATTTTTTTTAGCAAACAATACAGACGCCTATATATATTTTATTAGTAATAATCCAAATTTCTGTAATAATTTGATTTGTTTTCAATATTGTATTACTAGTAACAATTTTTATACCGAGCCGACTCATGCTCACTCGACGGACTAGCTTACCGGCACGGTACTCATGCTTCTGTGGAACTATTTCTTTGTTACTTGAAGTCACCTCTTCATCTGCGAGGCATTCACTTTCATATAGGAGAACTGATATTACAACTTATGTTGAAACGTAGAAAGAGCAACTGAATGAGGAATAACCAAAACGGAGCTTGTAAATGAAATGGTAATCTTTATAAGATCAACTAATTACAATACTCGCCAGCGGCGTGAAGTAGGTAAACCACTGCTTGTGGTGGATTACTTATACAGCATATTACCCCTTCCGCATTAACAATAGTGTTCAACGTATTTATATTACTGTTCATAGTTCCGTTATATAACAATTATTTATCTATCTATCTATCTATCTATCTATCTATCTATCTATCTATCTATCTAATTCTCGTCGTTATTGTTGTAACCTAGAAAGGGTTACTGAATGAGGGATAATCAAAACGGAGGTTGGAAATTAAATAATAATCTTTATAAAATCAACAAAATACAATGCTCGCCAGCGGCGTGAAGTAGGTAAACCACTGCTAGTGGTAGACTATTTAGACAGCATATTACCCTCACTGTGTGTCCAGCATATTCATGAGGATTGGGACAAACCCATTGCCTCGTCCACTGCGAGGAAAGTTGGCTCCCTGAGCCGTGCTAGGAAGTTTTTCTCCCCTGAGTCGATCCTCCAGATATACAAATCCACAATTCGCCCTTGCATGGAGTATTGCTGCCATATATGGTCTGGCGCCCCTTCTGTTTGCCTCGGGGTTCTTGATAGGCTCCAGAAGCGGATATGCAATATGGTTGGCCCTGCCCTGGCGTCTCGTCTACAGTCACTTTCTCACAGACGCACCGTCGCCTCCCTCTGTCTGTTCTACAAATACTTTCATGGAAATTGCTCCGAGGAACTGCATTCGCTGGTTCCCAAACTTCATGAGTTCAAGCGCCCTACGAGGCTGGCATCCCGCTCTCACCCCTTCACTGTCGAAACTCCTAAATGTAGCCGTCTCTTCTACTCTAATAGCTTCATGTCTCGCACCTTTCGCCTGTGGAACTCTCTTCCCTTCTCCTGTTTCCCTGAGAGTTATAATCTCCAGCTATTCAAGTGTAATGTCAATCGACATCTCCAGTTGCCTTTATCTACTACCCTCATCCTTTCTTCTATCACTCCTATCTGATCTTCCTATTTTCTGTAACCCCTTGCGTCCTAGTGGCTTCCCGCCTTGCTTGGGGTGAAATGCTTAAAAAAAAAAAAAAATTAGTGCTCATAGATACGGAATATAACATATGACTTGAGATCTCTTCTTTTTTTAACGAAATATTACTCTTTCTTAATACTATGCTTATCTTCTGGAATTTAGCTTTCGTTATTCCCATACGACTTAGGATTTTTGTGTACATTTCTATTGAATTTCTCTTTTAAAAAAAACGTGTCTTTTTTTGGGGGGGGGGTCGCCCGTAGATTGAATCCTGTGTAGATTGAATATGTGGTCTGCTGCTCCTGTTGTACATCTGGAGATTCTTGACAAAATCTAAAGAAAGTTCTGTAATGTAATCGATCATGACCTGACATCTCGACTTCAGTCACTTTCTCACCGGCGTGATGTGAATTCCCTCTCTCATTTCTACAAATATTTTCATAGCAACTGCTCTGACGAGCTTTTGACACTGGTTCCTCAACTGCATGAATTTAAATGTGCTACTAGATTGGCAACTAGGTCCAACCGTTTTATTGTTGAAATAGCTAAATGCAACCACCACTTCTACTCCAACAGTTTCTTTTCTTGCACTTCCCACCAGTGGAACTCCCTTCCGTTTCCTTGCTGCCCTGATGACTATAATCTTCAAAAAGTTCAATACAACATCAATCACCATATTTTTTTACCCTGTTCATTAGCTGTTCATTAGCCTTATATATATATATATATATATATATATATATATATATATATATATATATATATATATATATATAATTAAAAAAAACAAAAAGAAAAACGTGGAACTCTCTCCCGAGTCTTTTCTTCCCTGATAATTACAAAGATTTAAGTGCAACGTCAACCTCCACCTTCTATCTTGTTCGAACCTGTTCATATTTTGTCCTTCTCTCAATCGTCCCTATTTCCTGTATTCTCATATTTTTTTTTTTCACTTTCACTGCCGGTTGCCGCTTTGTGTCGGGTGAAATGATTAAAAAAAACCCTGGTAGGACGTTCGTTCTTTCAGGATTGCCTCACCGTAAAGATTGGATAAATCTACGGAGAAGAGATAAACTAATCGGAACAGATTCAAATAGCGTTGTTACCAATATATAATCGTGCATTTTATGCTTTTTCTATAATTCTTTTAATATGGCCTTTGTATATTTTCATTTATCCCCAGACTAAATCTCTCTTACGTAACATTACATTATATTAAATTCCAGATTTAGTCACTTTCAGTCGGCAAGTAGATGAGATGAGATGCGTTGGGATTTCGTTGAACTTGGATTTTCGCATTTAGCAAGAACGTTAAGAAAATATTTTCTTCCCTTCTCGTATATGTGTTTATATATCTATCTCTCATACGTTTTTTTTTTTTTTTTTTTTTCCCACGCGGGCAAGTCCTGGGCATAGCTTGGCCGATCATCTGGTTACTTTGGAGCGGCTATAGAGTGAAGCGCGGATTTAAACCAGGTGGATTGGAAACCAACCCGCTGATAGACCTTCGGTTTCTCATAATGACACTTGATGCAAACGTATTTTGGCATCATATGGGTTAAGATATACTACACTACTAAATTCCGAGTGCAACCAAATAGGAAGCGGTGCGAAAATAGGTGAACAGTTTTAAATTGAAGAGATACTGAAAGCTTGCCACTTTATTCGTTATTTATGATTCTATTATAATTCTGGCTCTTTCTTTATGATTTTCCCCATATAATGAAGGCTGATAAGTTACGAAACAGACGTAATATTATGCATGTTCACTTTTTTAAAATAATAAAACTTTATACGTACCCTGTAATTTTCCTTCGTCGACTGTATCAAAATACTAATGTAAAATTAAATAGATTCTATCCGTGCTTTCACAGCATACACAAGCTGCAAATAGCAGTTACGATGATGATGATCGCCATGTGGGGATCGCCATATCATCAACAAGAAAGGAAGTGCATTTGGTAGCATATATGATGTAAATATTTATTTATTTATTTGGAATAAATTTAACAAAGAACCGTAAGTAAAGAAAAAAATAAAATCGATTTATTATATGTTAAAGGCTCCGTGTAATCATAACGCTGAAATTATTGTAAAATAAAAAAAAAATAAAATAAGAAAACACTTATGCGAGAGTTGCCCAAACAAATTGGAATGAAATTTGGAAATAAATAGAAAACGATGTATTAAAAGCAAAAATAAAAAAAGTAGAAAGAGTATATAAAAAATATTAGAGAAGAAGAAATTATAGAAGAGGAAGTAAAGAAAGAAAGAAAGAAAGAAAGAAAGAAAAAAATGTCAAAGAAAAATATTACAGATGAAAATGAAGAATTATAGAAGAGAGAGAGTGATTAAAGAAAGAAAAAAACGAAAATCATGAAAGAAAGAAAGAAAGAAGGAAAGAAAGAAAGAAAGAATAAAAAGAAAGAAAAATTATCAAAGAAAAAATTCGAGGAGAGGAAAAGAAGAATTATAGAAGAGAGAGAGAGAGAGAGAGAGAGAGAGAGAGGAACGAAAGGAAGAAAAAACAAAAGTAATGAAAGACATACAGTGATAAAGAAAGAAAGAAAAAAAAAAAAAAGAAAGAAAGAAAAAAGAAAGAAAAGAAAAATATTAGAGAGGAAAAGAAGAATCATAGAAGAGAGATAGTAAAGAAAGAAAAACGAAAACAATGAAATAAATACAGCGATATAGAAAGAAAGAAAGAAAGAAAGAAAGAAAGAAAGAAAGAAAGAAAGAAAGAAAGATAGAAAGAAAGAGAAATTGCCAAGAAAAATATTTGAGGAGGTGTAAAGCAGAATTATAGAAGAGAGAGAGAGGCAGAGTATAGAAAAAAAGGAAATAATGAAAGAAATAGAATGAGAAAGAGAGAAAGAAGAACGAAAGAAATAAAGAAAAAATGTCTAAGAAAATATTAGAGATGGGGAAAAGAAGAATTATAGAAGAGAGAGAGAGAGAGAGAGCGAGAGAGAGGAAAGAAAGAAAAAACAAAAATAAATAAAGAAATACGGTGATAAAGAAAGAAAGATTGTCAAAGAAAATGTTAGAGAAGAGGAAAAGACGAATTATAGAAAAGAGAAACAGAGTAAAGAAAAAAAAACGAAAAGAATGAAAGAAATACAATGATAAAAAAGAAAGACAAAAAGAAAGAAAAATTGTGATAGAATATATTAGACAAGAATAAAAGAAGAATTATAGAAGACAGAGAGAGCGGATGAAGAAAAAAGAAAAGAAAGAGAGAAAAAGAACAAAGAAAGAACTAGAGACAAAGAAACCAGGGATTATAGGAGAGAGAATAGAGAAAAGAAAATACAAAAAGAAATAAAGAAAGAATTGTCAAAGAAAATATTAGAGAAGGATAAAAGAGGAATCATTGAAGAGAGAAATTGCAAAAAAAAAAAAGAAAGAAAAAAGAAATAATACAACAAGTAAGAAAGTATTAAAGAAGAAGAAAAGAAGAATTAAAAAAGAGAGAAAGAGAGAAAGAGATAAAGAGTGAAAGAATGATGAAAGAAAAAACGAAAAAAATGAAAGAAAAAATAAAGAACGAAAGAACATACAAACGAAATATTAGAAAGGAAGAAAATAAGATTTATAGAAGATAGAAATAGCAAAGAAAAAAAAAAAGGAAAAGAAAAAAAGAAAAAAGTATGTGCAAAAATTTATTAGAGACGAAGAAAAAGAGAATTATAAGAATGAGAAAAACAAAGAAAAAAAAAGAATTTAGAAAGAGAATGTTAACGAGATGAAATAAAGAATTATAGGTAGAGAAAGTTCAAAGGAAGAAATGATCAAAAAGTAAAAACGAAAAGAAAGAAAGAAAGAAAGAAAGAAAGAAAGAAAAAACAAAGAATTGCCAAAGAAAAATATTTGAGGAGAGGAAAGGTAGAATTATACAAAAGAGAAAGTAAAAGAAAGAAAAAAAAAAAAAAAAAGGAAAGAAAAACAGTGTTAAAGAAAGAAAGAAAGAAAGAAAGAAAGAAAGAAAGAATGATGTTCAAAGAAAATATTACAGGGGAAGAAAAAAGAATTATGTTCGAGAAAGAAAAAGAAAGAGGGGAAGAAAAAAGAAAAATTATAGAAGTGAGAAAAGAGCAAAAGTAACAATAAGCGAAAAGAAAGAAAGAAAGAAAAGAATGAAAAACAAATATTAATGGTTGAAAAAAAAAAAATTAAAGAAAGTGAAAGAAAAGAAAGAAAAAAAGAAAAGAAAGAAAGAAAGAAAGAAAAGAAAGAGAAAGAAAGAAAAGAAAAAGAAAGAAAAGAAAAGAAAGAAAAAGGAAAAAAGAAAGAAAGAAAAAAAAAGAAGGAAAGAAAGAAAGAAAGAAAGAAAGAAAAGAAAAAAGAAAAGAAAAGAAAGAAAAAAGAAGGAAAGAAGAAAGAAAAGAAAGAAAGAAAAAGAAAAAAAAGAAAAGAAAGAAAGAAAGAAAAAAAGAAAGAAGGAAAGAAAGAAAGAAAAAGAAAGAAAGAAAGAAAGAAAGAAAAAAAGAAAGAAGGAAAGAAAGAAAGAAAGAAAACTAACTATGTAATCACACACCATCAGCAAGAAAATTATATTATTTGGTAGCATATACGATTGGATTTTCTCCTAAAATCGTAATTCCGTAAATTTGGAAAAAAAAATATTTTGAACTAGACACAAAAGAAAAAAAAAGGATTAAATTTCAGACACATTCGATGTGCCTTCTAAAAAAATTCCCATAATAATGCCTGAGAAGTAGTTTCTAAGTATGCCTCTCACGACAGTTAGCCACTCCCTGTTGCTGACGTCTGCTCAGGCACATTCGCGTTCGTTCAACACTCACAGAACCCACCTGCAGTTTATACTATAACTATGCCGAGCAAACCATAGTTACAGTTTCTGGGAGAGAGCAAATCATCTGGCGTGATTCACAGTTTGAACATGGCCAGTACATTCAAACCCTCGTTCACGATGACTTGTTACTTCGTGCTAACACAAGCATCGGTGAACATTTCCGTCTACGCTATTTCGATTACAAAGCTTGGGTCAACCTGTAGTATGATTTACCGGCACTTTCCAATGGTGCTACACACTTGGATCATCTAAGGCCGATATTATCAGGAAGTCAACGCCTTAGCAAATTGATCATGGCGATTCGAATCGAGATCTCATGGAAAGCGTATGTTCTAATCACTCGGACTCGTGGCCATTTTTTTTTTCTTAATATTTCTTGTTGAATTTTGGGTTGGACTGTTTATATGCTTGTATGATTACAAATCTCGTTGTGGTAAGAAAACTTTTAACCAAATAAAAAAGCAAAGGTTAATATAATCATGGAGTCTTTTTTTTGTTGGGGGGGCGGTTAAATGTCAATGTGTTTATTTTATTTATTTTTTTCTCTATTTAAATTAGATTTCTATTTTCTTCAACAACAAAAAAATAAATAGAGAAAAATAATCCAGAATAATTGTCAAAGTCATCAGAATGGTTGCGTACAAGCCGAAAAGTATGAAGAAACCATTTATTTTACTCACTCGCGGAAGTTTAAATACCTGAGAAGCGTCTTAACAGAGGACGTAAAATGCGACACTGATATTAGTAGGCGTATCGGGATGGCCAAGGACACATTCCAAATTTTGGGCTGAGTACCACAAGACAGGAGGATATCTTTGGCACCAAAGTAAAGAATACTGAGCTGTTACGTGACATCTGTCCTTCTTTATGGCAGCGAATGTTGGACGATTTCCTCAAGGATGAAGAAGAGACTCAAGGCGATGGAGATGTGGTTCTACAAAAGGATGCTAAGGATATCATGGACCTGAACGTGTGAGAAACGATGAGATCTTAGAGAGGTTGCACTCAAAGAGGAGGCTTAGAGTTAATATCAGGAAGAGGCAGCTGCAGTTTCTAGGACACATAATGAGGAAGGAGGGCTTGGAGAATCTGATACTCACGGGTCGAATAAAGGGAAAGAGAGACAAGGGAAAAACGCGTGACATACCTGGCGGAAGAAGTGTATGACAGAACGTGGTTAGGGGGAGGAAGCAGAGGGAAGGAACTTGCTGAGAGCTGCAAGGGATAGAGGGAGGTGGAGAGCCATGATCGCCTACATCCTGAAAGAGATGGCACATAGAAATGAAAGAACAATAGTAAACCGGACAAGGTTGTTAACCTTTAAATGGCACTAAGGGGTCCTAAAATACTAAACTTAGCCTAGTTAGAATCGAAGGCGACAATTATCGGATACCTAGTGAGGAGCGAATTCCCAACTCTTAGAAATTGTCATGCAGACTAAGTCGTTAACAATTACCCAACACTGAAGCAACGTAAAATATTAAGCTTACCTTTGTCAGAAAGCCGCAAGTTTAGGACTGCCTGTGCTGATCGAAACTCTCTCCACAGATGCGATTTTTAACCATAGATAAACACTTCAATATTTACGCCTCACCTAAATGCCCACATATTGATTCAATTTCTTTGGCACACGGGCACAAATATTAGCGACCACGGACCTTAGAACTCACTACCAGCAGCAATAAACAACCATACTCTCTCCATAACAACAACGTTGTCATGCCTTTTGAAACCCAGGCATTTCCCACGCAGATATAATCCACTGATCACTACTTGACTCTATCAACCCCGCAAACATTTTGCTATTACAGAGACGGGCACCCAGTGTGAATCAAACTCTCTTCTCAGCAGTAATTGTCACATATACATGCTCTTGTGACTAATTTTGCCAACAGAACTGACTCATAACGACAAAGTTTATTTTTTCGACAGGTTTAACCAATCTCTCGAAACCTATAATCTGACTCTCCTAAACTTAAACTAAAGGCAAATATGTGTATTCCAACTGAATGGCATGTAGTTACATTGGGTCATTTCTATCATGCTGAACCTTATTGAACCCCAATAGATAGATAGTGTTACTGTGTCGCAAGTTCTCAAGTGCGTAGTTATCGAAATGTGTATTAGGATAGATAGATAGATAGATAGATAGATAGATAGATAGATAGATAGATAGATAGATAGATCATGACCTAACACGGATAGATAGATCATGACCTAACACGGATAGATAGATAGATAGATAGATAGATAGATAGATAGATAGATAGATAGATAGATCATGACCTAACACAGATAGATAGATAGATAGATAGATAGATGAATGAATGAATAGATAGATCATGACCCACGGATAACACGGATAGATAGATAGATAGATAGATAGATAGTTCATGACCTAACACGGATAGATAGATAGATAGATAGATAGATAGATAGATAGATAGATAGATAGATCATGACCTAACACAGATAGATAGATAGATAGATAGATAGATAGATAGATAGATAGATAGATAGATAGATAGATAGATGTTAACAATTAACACTCACCAGGTAAACCAAATATGTACTAAAGAAACTATTTGCCAAAGAAAGTGAATCAATATGTGGGCATCCAGTTGAGGCGTAAGTATTGAAGTGTTTATATATGGTTGAAACCCTGGAAGATTGTACTCCCTATTCAGTAGTAATGATCAATCAGACTTACATACTAACCCAATGTTGCAATACATTTAAAAACACCCACCCACTCAAAAATGATTCATTGACCATTGCTTAACTCTGGCAATCCTGCAAACATTTTGCTATTACAGAGATATGTATGAGGAAATATTCTCTATTCTAAGTTGAATGGGGGTGCAATATCAGAAAATATATTGCTTGAAGTGAATGACAATCGCCGCTTACGAGAATTATAGTCAAAGATATTGAGCAAGAATTGTAAGTCTGTAATATTGGTCCAAGACATAAGTCAGTTTTTTTTTTTTTTTATTTCTCTCCTATTCAGCCAAAAATGGGCGATGTAACTATCTTTTCACAATGAAACTTATTTGAATTTTAAATCTGACAGTCAAATCATTATCAATTACATATCAGCAAATTGCTAGCTAAGCACCAAAGGTATTGGAATGAAGATGATGGTGTGCGATCATAATTTTCTCCCGGGGAAATATATTCAACTTTGAAATTGTAACTTGGTAAGAATATCTCAATATGTCGTGTAGCATACGAGAAAAGAATGTTCTTATTTAGAGTTGAACCACTGCTAAGTATCGCTAATATCATCACAACGGCGTGTTGAAAAGATCTAGTTCACGATAGTTAAGCAACGTTATACAGAGGCACGGTGGAGTAATGGATAGCGGCTTGGATTGAGAAATCGGAGAGCCGAGTTCGAATTCCAGTCGAATCCATTACATTTACTTTGCGATGCTAACACCCTTGGGAAAGGTGTGAATCCTCTTTCTTCTCCCTCCAGCTATGGGTAAATAGCAGGGCAGACTGGGTTCTATAGCCTTGGATGGCAACTGGTCTAGGAGAAGGAAAACTCAAACCTGCTCTTAGAGGAGGGTGAATGGACTCTTTCTGAGCCTTGGTTGGCAATCCATTTAGTGTTAGTGTCACGATAAAAACACCCTAGCGAAGCATCAAGAATTCAGCTATTTGACAAGATTATGAACTACACCAATCAAAGTATTAGTGAGTTCAATCTCGGCTGAGGCCGCAAGATGATGATACA